GCAGACAACTGGGATATGACACCAATGGTATATCACATATGTGCTCTATGTTAACTATTTCTACTGCTTTATTGATTTGCAGATGTTGTTCCAGTCAAGAATGCTGGTTTTGGGTTTGGAAGTGGGCTTTCTCGTCCCATCATAATTGATGGCATCACGTGTACTGGCAATGAAGACAACATACTGGACTGTTCCTATGACTCTGTCAGTAACTGTGACCACTCAGAGGATGCTGGAGTCATCTGTGGTGCAGTTTGTCTCAATGGAACTGTTAGACTAGCAACTGAGGATATCAATGAATTTTACCAAGACCCAGACACCCTGGATGATGATTACTTTATCAAAGATGAGTTAGCCAGAGGCAGAGTGGAGGTGTGTGTTGAAGGGGGTTATGGTACAGTGTGCGATGACTACTGGGATTCACAAGATGCTTCTGTTGTTTGCTCACAACTGGGATTCTCTCCTTATGGTAAAACCTACATGCATAAACTGCTTTTCACTCAACTCTACTGTTCTTTACAGGAGCCATTGGTATCATTGGAGGCCATTTCAGTAATGCATCAGTACCAGTATTGATTGGTAATGTGAGGTGTGCTGCTAATGAGAGTAGTCTTTTTGACTGTTCGTATGAGACAAGTGCTCATGAAGAAGTGAGCCAGTGTGATCCTAATCAAGTGGCTGCAGTCGCTTGCCTAGGTATTGTTGCGTAGCACTAGCTTGTTCCTTTTTAGGTTTGCTAATGCTTTCATTCTGCTCATAGATTCTTCCATTGGGTTTGCTAATTGTACAACAGGAGAAGTCAGATTTGTAGACTTCACTGATAACCCAGAAGAGGATTCTCGACAGGGAACTATCCAGATCTGTATCAATAATGCCTGGGGCTCTGTTTGCAATGATCACTTCTTTGACAGCACAGATGCTGAAGTATTTTGTGATCAACTTGTAGGCTTTAGCACTGATGGTATAGAAATTGAATTGGGACATTCCTCGGGATTAATACTCTTCTTTTGCAGGGGCTTCTGAACTCCAAGGGACAGATGTAACAACCAGCTCAGCTCCTCTGTTTCTCAGTTCTCTGGACTGTGATGAGATGGACCAGTCTCTGCTCTATGACTGTTCTCATGATGAAGTTGGCCTTGCATCTTGTGACGACTTTGGGTCTGCTGTGGTTAAATGCTTCAGTAAGCCTAAACATAATAATAAAAATGTTTGCAACGAGTTACACGTAATATGTATAGATATTGATGAGTGTGCCGAGAACACTGACAACTGCTCTCAGAATTGCTCTGACACTCTTGGTAGCTACCAGTGTGTCTGCTACGATGGATACACTCTGGACTCTGACCAACACACTTGCAATGGTAACATATATTGGTAGCTACGAGAGTTTCTCATACACACTTCTCTGTTACAACCATTAGCTATAAATAGCCACATCAACTGAGAAATGTTATTTTAGATATCGATGAGTGTGCGACAGGGAACAACTCGTGTCATGCCAATTCACAATGCACCAATACTGATGGTGGATATGAGTGTGAATGCCTCCCTGGTTTTGATGGAGATGGCTTCAATTGCACAAGTAAGAAAAAGTTTACAACTCCAATGAATAACTATAATTTGTTTGTTTGTAGACATTGATGAGTGTGCTGAAACCAATCGCAACAACTGTAGTGCTAGTGCCAACTGCACCGACACCTTTGGAAGTTATGAGTGCACTTGCTCAGTGGGCTACACTGGAGATGGTTATCTGTGCACCGATGTCGATGAGTGTTCCAATGCAACTGCATGTCATCAATATGCTCATTGCAACAATACAGTTGGTAGCTTCATTTGTTCGTGTATGGATGGATACGACGGTGATGGAATGACCTGTGATGGTAGGGTTTGATGAATAATACTATTTTGTAGTGGAATTCTTGATTCTGCACAGATAACGATGAATGTGTGTTGGGGACTGATCTATGCCACGAGAAGGCTGCATGTAACAACACTGTGGGGTCTTACCGATGTACATGCATCGTGGGATACTCGGGAGATGGATTCAACTGCAGTGGTACGTATGTTTACTACATAGATCTATATACAACTATGGAAACCTATGGGTGAAGCAGTTAAACACTATGTTGTGTACAGATTATGATGAATGTGCTTTGGGGATTGACTTATGTGACTCGCATGCTGACTGCACTAACACCATTGGAAGTCATGAATGTGCATGCAGAATCGGATATAATGGAGATGGAATCAGCTGCGGTTAGTGGAATACTTTTTGTTTTAGAAGCTAAGCTATATGTACAAGTATACACTGTACCCTATTACTTTGTTAATGTATACAACAGATTGCGGAGACGGGGAGGTTCTTCTGTATGATGGTAGTCGACTCTCCACCAACCACTCCAATGGAACTGTACTGGTTTGTCTGGACAATGAGTATGGCACTGTGTGTGACGACTGGTGGGACCCTCTGGATGCCACTGTTGTGTGTACTCAGCTGGGATTCTCAGCTACTGGTTTGTTCTCTTCTGCCTATAATTTGTGGATCTCTCCATCAATTCCACATCTTTCCCTCTGACAGGCTCTCTGCCAGTGGTCCGCTCTGGTCTGGGCAGTCCTCCTAACAGGTCTATCTTCCTGGACAATGTGGTGTGTACTGGAGGAGAGGCCAACCTCACAGAGTGTGGCTACACCACCATCACTAACTGTGACAGATCTGAGGAAGCTGGAGTCAGATGTGAAGGTATGGAGTTTCTTTTACAGACTAAAATGCATGGTTAGATCTAATCCAATATTTTTCAGCAACTTGTCTTGAAGGAGATGTCCGAATAGGAGTTTACAACTTCACTAACTTCTTTATTAACATCGATCAATATGATGATTACTATTTCATCAAGGATGAAATAGCTCGGGGCAGAGTTGAAGTTTGTACAGGAGGTAGTTTTGGAACAGTTTGTGGTGAAGATTGGGAAAATGAAGATGCTTCAGTTGTCTGCTCTCAACTGGGATTCTCCTATTATGGTTAGTCTGAAATTTTTTTATTGAAACACTTTAAACCTGTCTATTTCTCTTCAGGAGCAATTGCATCGTCCACTGGTGTTTTTGAGGATGACATAGAATCCACCGTGCTTTATAGTGTAGAGTGCTCTGGAAATGAGACTGAACTACTGACTTGCTCATATTCTCTCTCGGGATTATGCACGGAGCATAATGCTGCAGTTATCTGCCAAGGTGAGGAACCAGAATGTAACTTTATTGTTCCTTGACTTTTTGTTATGCAGATCCAGCAACTAATTTATATAACTGTACTGACGGAGAATTGAGACTGACTGGGGCTATCACCACTAACCAGGGCAGACTGGAAGTGTGTATAAATGGAGCATGGGGCAGTGTCTGTGATAGTAAGCGCGTTTTTACTTCTGATGAGGCCAAAGTGGCCTGCAGGCAGCTTGGAAAACTACAAGTCGAAGGTTAACACCAACAACTGTACATTTAAATTGATTTGAGACCAACATAATTTTACTCTGATACAGATGAAGTGAATGTATTGAGAGCCAGTGATTTTGGAGAACCGACTGGACCAATTTTCCTTGACCTGATAGACTGCAGTGGTGAAGAAGAGAATCTTCTGAACTGTGGAAGTACTGAAATACACATGTGCAGTCATGGAGACGATGTTGCCATTATTTGCCATCGTAAGTACACATTGCTAAAAAAATACCACGTGTTATTCTTATTTTTTTTGCTGTAGCTGCCAGTGAATGCGAAATAGAGAATGGCAGTTGTGATCATTACTGCACTGAGACATTGTACAGCTATACGTGCTCCTGTTATCCTGGGTACACTCTGCAGCAAGATGGTCACACGTGTGTTGGTGAGTTCGTAGGCACACATAATTACGTGACATTTAAACATTTTTGCAATGTCAGATCTGGACAATTGTTCTTCTGCTGGTGATGTTCGACTGGTGAATGGCTCCACTGCCTATGAGGGTCGAGTGGAGGTGTGCTCTAACAACACATATGGTACAGTCTGTGATGACTCATGGGATGAACTTGATGCCAGAGTC